CGATAATTCGCGTTTCCGTAATCGAGTTTGGCTGTGAGCTTTAATCAGGAGTTATTGAAGTATTCCTGCTTGTTACTGGTGCCACTACTTAAAATCAAGGTGCAGGGAACCCAACTACTTAAATGTGGAGTCGTGTTCGCCGTCATCATTTCGACACGTTTTCTTCCCTTCAGAAATGGGGAAATGTTATTTCCTGTTTCAAAACTGAGAAAGTAGAATAGATCGATGGCACATAATTACAGCCATGTTACAAGGTGTAGGATTACTCAATCAGCTTGTGTTAAATTGAGTTCTGCGGTGAAAATTTTGACACAAGTTTTATAGTTGTTTTAAAATCTGCAGTATGTAACAGTTAAGACTTTTTATACTGTAATAATATTTAGAAGAATTTTAATTTTCTTTTATTATATTTATACGTTTGGGCATGATATTTAAGATGTCTGCATCATGGATCTATCAGCAAAAATATTTGTTATTAGACTTTTGTTAAAAAGAAAACATCCCATGTCTCGAAAAATGCCACTAGGCAGACGGCCTTGACCCACTAGGAGGCTACTGCGACAATAAAAAAAGAAGTAGAAGAAGTGTTTAGTTAAGAGATGATAAAATATTTTTCCAACTTCACGTCAACTTTAATTTGCTCTTGGAATTTGGTTAACGTTAAAGTGTTACGATATGGTCAACATCAACTGCCAAGAGGTTGTTGATAATGAAATAGAATCCTAAAATGCTGCAAGAAATTTGGACTAAGGATTTCTGATAAAACTTTTAATTATGCAGACAACTTTATCTTGTCTTTTGTTTTTATAAACTGATGCAAGCATGTTTATAATACTAACACAATGACATATATTAAATTGCTTACCCTAATACTAACCAACTCATTATAAATGCACTATAATATTAATTGAATGACTGCATAGAATAATATTGTTGGAAGTTATAATAGTAATTGATTTTTTTAGAATGCTAAAAACCTCTTTTTAACCATACTTAACACTCTGACTACACAAAAAGAATAAACCAGATTTCGATTGTTCACCAATCAAATCTGTCATTAGGGTTTCTCCAATTATTTCATCAAGTTTTCCAAACAGCAAACAGCCCTTCCTTTTGCATGCAAATGGGCTGGCAGCAACAGTTAGTGCAATTACGCTTAGGAGGGTAGGTTATACAGCCTGTTAGTTCCCTGTAACGATAGTCGCTAATTCCCCAGACTCAATATGTTCCGAGGGTTTAATTTATTGGCACAAGGCATGCACGTCCGCCGTTATTAGCCTTCTCGAATAGAATTGAGCGATAATTCGCGTTTCCGTAATCGAGTTTGGCAGTGAGCTTTAATCAGGAGTTATTGTAGTATTCCTGCTTGTTACTGGTGCCACTACTTAAAATCAAGGTGCAGGGAGCCCAACTACTTAAATGTGGAGTCGTGTTCGCCGTCATCATTTTGACACGTATTCTTCCCTTCAGAAATGGGGGAAATGTTTCAAAACTGAGAAGGTAGGATATGTCGATGGCACATAATTACAGGCATGTTACACGGTGTAAGATTATTCAATTAGCTTGTGCTAGTTTGAGTTTTGCGGTGAAGACTTTGACACAAGGTTTGTAGTTGCTTAAAATGTGCAGTAAGTAATAGTTATGTGTTTTATTTGTAATAATTTTTTGAAGAATTTTTATTTTGTTTTATAAAGATAATTTTCCCGTGAGTTCAAATATTCATTTGCTGTTCTATACTATTCTGTACCATTCAAATAGTATTTCCAGATGCATTTGATATATGTGGACGTGAGATTTAATCATTAATTATTGAAGAATTACAGCTTTTTACTCGTGCCACTAGTTAAAAATCAAGGTGAAAGAGAATAACTACTTAAATGTGGAGTCGTGTGGAGTATCATTATTTTGACACTTTTTATTCCTTCGGAGATGGGAAAATGCTACTTTATGTTTCAAAACTAAGAAGGTAGGAAGGTAAAGGCACATAATTATAGCTACTTTAGGTATGTGTGCGTTTGCTAGATCATATGGTATTAAAGAGGATTCATCGAAGCTAATTGGATAAATTTGGCTACAGCATTACGCTAAATTTTGAGATAAGATGAGAAGTTGCTTCAAATATACTGCAAACAACAATAATAGGTTTTATGCGGTATCAATCTCTTGAAAATGTTCCATTATATTTTAAAATGATAATTTTATTAAAGTGATAAAATATTTGATATACAATACTTCGAAAAACAATTCTGGATATACATTCTTTTAAAATATATAATTCAAAATCCTTTTGATGCCAAAAACTTTTATTGCAACAACCTACTAAGAAAAATTCAATATCTATTTTATCTGTTTTTAAAAACTGTTTCTATACTTGTTACTTGTTTTTAAAACCAGTACTTATCAAAATTTTATAACTTTTTGAAAATTCTAAGAAAGGTAACAAGATGAAAATAATTTTTCTGCATATCATTAATATTCATAAATTTGCAGAAGAATTTAAGAATTTAAAACTTTTCTAAATTATAAGTTTTGAATAATTTGCTTTGAATTCAGTTTTCTCAAAGTGTTGGAAATATAAGTTTTGTTTATTATTAATCTCTATTTCATTTATGCGAAAAATATTATAAGAAAAAGAAATATTGATGTGGAAAGTTATTCTATAAATGTTACATTAGTATTTTCAGAAATATAATTGTATTAATTAGTGCATATTTTAATTGAAGAATGGCAACATATTAAAAAAATAATTTTTAACATCCATGATATGATAAATAAATAGTGAAAAGGCAAAATTCCACTCCGAAAAATTTACTGCAAAATCGTTATAATGAATTCTTTCATTAATGTTTAAGCAATAATTTTTAATGAATACGAATGTCATTATGACAACTCCCCATCCAGTAAAAATGCTGTCTATCTTGTAAGTTAATATAGAGTACGACACCAGCTGATATGTTCACTATAGTCATTATCTTATCGATATACTTAGAGCTATGACAGAGAATTTCGCATCGACAGATGAATTGTCAGTTTGGTAGTTACGAAATTTCCTGTGATATTTTATTCGAAAACTAACTAATTAATCTTTTCTTTGGTTTAACTCATTTGATACATCCTTGATAAAGGTGGAACTACAAAAAATTGTATGTGTAACCAATGACCTGAATAATGATAAAAGTCTATAAAACTGATTAGAATGATAATATTTAATATTTGTATATTTTTAAACTATAATATAATCAATTATTTAAAATAAAAGTTGCATGGAGTATTGATTCAGTTTTGTTGATGGATACAAGCATTATTTCACAAAATAAAAAGCGATGTTTAGCTGCCATATTTATTAAAATTTACTAAGACAGCGCTGTACAGCTACAACATCTAACAAACAAAAGACAATTACATAACAAATAATTGCAAAATCAACTTAAAAACTTGTTCTTTTAAGGGGTTTTTGCACATTCTGTACTTCCCAGAACTCTTCACTCGACTCTACGCACTTACGTTCTCTTTACCCCTCTCCCATTATCGGTTCCAAAGTCTAACGGGTGAAAATAACGGTCAAAGTCCAAAGTCTAACATAAGGGCCAGCCCGTCTTTGGAAGGAACGTGCAAAGTCCGAAATTTAACTTAAGGATAATCCGTCCTCGAAAGGAGGATCTATCAACCTTCAACTCTTCCCCGTTGGCTATATTTTGTTTCAAGAAGACACGGTGGATTCTTACTATTAATTTCAGATTATTTTTTAAAAAATGCTAACTTTCTGTAAAAGAAAAGATGTTCAATCTGCTGTTTATTTCATACAAACCTTTAAAAAAATTTCAATAACTTGAACAAATATTTATTTCGTTTAGGACAACCTTTATACTACTTAAAAACCGCATCTTTTCTGCATTTTCAACAAACCAAAAAATATCACAGTTGATGATAAAAGTTATCAATGAATAATTCATGCAATAACAATACACTACGCAACCTTAGCATTATAAAAACTTCTAGATTAACTTTTGTGTTTTCTGGATAATTTATGATAATATATGTTTCCATCCATGAACATAGTTTGTTAACCCAAAAGAGAAAGAAGAGTATTTTTATAATGAAACTGCATTACAGTGTCTCTGAAAACATTATCTATTAGAGATTCCTAATGATATTTTAATGTGCGGAACTATCCAAAAACGATCAACTGTTGCAATTCACTCCACGAATATGACGAGAAAAGTAATTGTATGAAAAAGGTCATTACTTTCGTTTTGGAAAATATATTTTTGCTAATTAGTGCATTTTCAATAAATAAATGTCAACATATTAAATAAAACAATTTTCAACGTCAAATAAATATTGCATTATACCCAGATTTCTAAGTAAATTGAATACAATTTTTAAATAAGAAATATGAGATAATTAATAGGATACTTTATAAACAAAAATAAGGAAAATTAGACATGATTTAAAAATAAATATGAATATCAGTAATTGGTTGATATCTTCCTGTTTTCTGTATAGGAATTTTTAATTTTATTTTTAAATTACTATGTCCTAACTAGTAGCATAAACAATCATTATCAATTTAATATACTTATTGTAAATAAAAATTCATAGGGTTTAATGAACATTGTTAAAGTAATTTTCAAAAGAAAAATTTAAAATATGGAGGTTAAAAGAATTAAAATATTCTAAATGAAAACGTAAGTCGTTAATATGTTGTTGTTTTGTTTGTTTCTTATCCCGCTTGGCTGGCCAAGCCCACGAGCCCATACTTGTTCATGATTGAAGGGGAAGGAAACAGCTTCTGTTGTGATGGAGCACCCGTAGGTAGAAGTCTGACTTTGGCTCCGTGACGCTCTTACAGTCATAGGAGACAGGGACCTACGGCTTAAAGTGGAATCCGAACCACTACAAACATCCATGGCACCACCGGGATTCGAACCAGAAACCTGTGGCACAGAGCGCCAGAGCACTAGACACTCGGCCATTCAGGCCCCAAATGTGTGAATGCCAACGGCACGCGGTGTTCCCAGGTGGTCACCCACCCAAGTACTGACCGCGCCCAATGATGCTTGACTTCGATGATGCTTGAATATATACACTGAAGAGACAAAAGTCATGGGATACCCTTCCCCAATATCGTGTCGGCCCTCGCACCACCCGGCGAAGTGCAGCAACCGACGTGGCATGGACTCAACAAGTCGTTGGAAGTCTTCTGCAGGAATATTGAGCCATGCTGTCTCGATAGACGTCCATAATTGTGAAAGCGTTGATGGTGCAGGATTTTGGGCACGAACAGACTTCTCGATGATGTCTCATAAATGCTCGATTGGATTCATGTCGGGCGATCTAGGTGGCCAGATCATTCGTTGGAATTGTCAGAATGTTCTTAAAACCAATCGCAAACACAGTTGTGGCCCGGTGACATGGCGCATTGTCATCCATAAAATCCCATCGTTGTTTGGGTACATGAAGTCCATGAATGGCTGCAAGTGATCTCCAAGTAGCTGAACATAAGCATTTCCAGTCAATGTTCAGTCCAGTTGCACCAGAGGACCAAGTCCATTCCATGAAAAAACAGCCCACACCATTACGGGGCCACCACTAGCTTGAACAGTGCCTTGCTGACAGTTTGGATCCATGGCTTCGTGGGGTCTGCGCCACACTTGAACCCTACCATCAGCTCTTACCAACTGAAATCGTGACTCATCGAACCAGGGCACGGTTTTCCATTCATCTAGGGACCAACCGATATGCTCACGTGCCCACGAGAGTCCCTGCAAGCGATGTCGTTCTGTCAGTAAAGTCACTCGAGTCGGTTTCTGCTGGAATAGCTCAAGAAAGCCAAATTTCTCCGCACAGTTCTAACAGACAAGTCCCTTGTACGTCCCACATTGATTCCTGCGGTTATTTGACGCAGTGCTGCTTGTCTGTTAGAATTTTCGACACTTTGCAGACGTTGCCGATCTCGGTCGTTAAGTGCAGGCGGTCGACCACTGCGCTGTCCATGGTGGGATGTTATGCCTGAAATTTCATACTCTCGGCACACTCTTGACACAGTGGATCTGGGAATGTTGAATTCCCTAACGATTTCCGAAATTGCATGACCCATGCGTCTAGCTCCAACTAACATTCCGCGTTCAAAGTCTGTTAATTCCCGTCGTGCGGTCATCATCACGTCAAAATCTCTTCACATGAATAACTTGAACAGAAATGAAAGCTCTGCGACAGCACTGCGCATTTATACCTGTTCTACGCGATGCTACTGCCATCTGAAAATTTGCATATTGCTATCCCATGACTTTTGTCACTTCAGTGTATATATATATTGCAATATTACTAATACAAATATAAAAAAATATCACATATGCATAAATGTGAAATTAAAAACAATTGTTTTGCAAGAATTAATATTTGTATTGATAATGTTTTTCAACTGAATCAAATTAAGAATAATTTATCTGGATTGTAACAAAAACATGTTATTCAATATGTTTAAAGAAGGAAATCGAATAATTATATATCGTCCTGACTAGTATGATTGCATAAATATTTTCATAATTTCTTCACTAGCCAGGAAAACTGTAATTATCAAAATTTATTAGATGAATTTAAGGTGAAATTTTAAAAAGGTTTTTCTTAATTATTATCATTGTCTAAGCAATAATGCTTTTCTTCATTAAATACTTTGATAATTAAATTAAAATGATTTATTTTTTATCAAATGTATATCAGCATAAGAATTAATATAAATGTGAATAATATTTGGTTTAAAATAAATAACTTTGATCAACAATTACAGCATCATGAAAAATAATTATTTTAATAATAGATTGATTCTGTAATTCAAAATTATTAACATTAATTATTTATTATGAAAACTCAAAAGAAAATGCCATTCTTTTTAATATGACTTAGCCATGAATATTATTATTCCGGCTCATATTTCTTAAATGTAAATGAAATATCTAAATATTTTTTGAAGTATCTTTTCAGTAGCTATTTACAAATAAACATTTATAAAGACAGAAATGTCATCGATAATTCAAAAAGATATTAGGAAAAGTACTAGAAAATATATTCAATATTTTCCTATTTATTTTACATTAACTTTTATTTGAAACTTTTTGTAACGAGATTTTCTCTAACCTTTAATGTTATTTATGTTGATTTATATCATAAAAGATAACAGTGATAATCTTCTACATGGGCAATATTTCAAAGGCTAAAAAAGTATTGGATATACATTAAAATGAATAAAAAAATTAAATAGTTTTCACTAAAGTATTATTTTCCTTTTTTTGTATTGTACTTCAAAAATACTATCGTATTATCATATAAAGAATTTCTATAATTTTTCTCTTTATAAAACTTCCAAATATAATTTCCATTTTATGAATATTTAATAATTTATCAAGGACATAGAAATTTAAAAAGTAAAATCATCAAATTTAAAACTAATCCTGCCGAACAGGAAATAAAACTTCTTATTTTCTTATGCTTTTAAGAATTAGGAGTTATAGTTAAAAAGATTTTTACATTTCCAAGTATGCATTTGCAAAAATATTTCGTAAGTAATCATCAATATGCAGTAAAAGTCGAAAAGGAATTTCTTTCCAGGAAAAGGATTCTTTCATAAAAGTAAAAAAAATCTCTCGCATTAGAAGTAAATTTCTAAATAAAATAAGATAAATACTACTCTGCCCAAAAAGTAAGACTAATTATTATTTTTTTTAAATCATCTTTATTTATTTCATCGCTTTCAAAGTAATCCCCTCCGGACACAATGCACTTACGCCAACTTTTTTTCCAATCCACAATGCATGCTAAAAAGTCATCGGCTAGGGTGGCTTTCAAAGAGCGCGGCGATTGAATCTCTTCAATCGACTCAAAACGCTGTCCCCAGAGCGGTCTTTTGAGTTTAGGGAATAGCCAGAAGTCGCGTGGTGTGAATGCGGTGGTTGTGGAATGATATGAGTTTCATTTTGGGCAAAAAATTCTCGCAGAATCAATGCAGTGTGAGCTGGCGCATTCAATGTTTTTTGTACTAATTGAGATTTGTCGCGTTTGAGGCCCAAATTGGAATTGACCGATTCTTTTGAAATTCCAACATCAACAGCAAGGTCTCTAATTGTAAATCGAAGGTTTGCAAGCACCAAATCTTTAATTTTTTGGACGTGAGATTCATCGGTTGAGGTTGATGGTCGACCAAAGGGCTCTTCGACTTCAACGTGTTCTCTGCTTTCTTTGAACTGTTTTTACCACTTCTAAATATTTTTTTCCTATATAGAAATGCTGACCGAATGCCTTCTGCAACATTCTATACGTTTCCGCAGACAAAATTTAATGCAAGTTCTTTACTCAATTAATTCAGACATTTCAAAAATCACCGGAATCAATTTTAGTATCTCACAAAGCCAAGCGTAATTCAAGCACTAATGAATATTTTTACGTCAAATTTCACACAGATGTCAAGGACAGTGCCAGTAACCTAAAAAAGAAAAAATAATAATTCCATCAGCCCCGGGAATTTTAAATTGAAAATTGTTCTTACTTTTTGGA